CAGCAGCCTGGAGAGGAGACAGCTTGTTAGGGACCAAATCCCAGAGCAACTGGATCCTACACCCTGGTCTCAGATCCCCTCCTCCATGGACACACACCCTGGTCTCAGATCCCCCCATCATGGACACATGCCCTGGTCTCAAATCTCCCCCATGGAAAACATGCCCTGGTCTCAGATCCTCCCCCATGGACACACACCCTGGTCTCAACCCCCACCCCCAATGGGCACACGCCCTGATCTCAGATCCCCCCGCCCCCGCGACGGGCACTCACCCTGGTTCTCTCCGATACTGACTGAGGAGGAGGATGGTGAGAGCAGATGCCATGATGGGGCCAGTGGGGGGCCCCCCAGTGCTGCCACCAACACCCCAGTGCCCAGCTCCACCCATCCAGATGCCCGAGTGGGAGCAGAATGAAGCACTGAGCCAGGGGCTGCAGCCGCGGGAAGCCGGCGATGGCTTGTCTCTTACTGTGTCCTCACACCTTTGTTCTCTCATCTGCCAGCAATGTCTACATCGGTCAAAATAGCCCCAGCAAACCACGTTCTTGCCCCCACGCTGGGCAGGGGGCTCTCTGGAGATGTGGGGTCACTGTCACCAACACCCCCCTGCACATCAGGGCAGAGTGATGGGCCCTCCTGTCCTGTGTCTCCCTCCCTGCTTGTTGGGGGTCTCAGTGGTGAGAGTGGGGTCTGGGAGCCAGGACTCCTGGGTTCCACTCCTGGCTCTGGGAGGGGAGCGGGGTCTCTCCTAGTCCTAGGGCAGAGACCGACTGGTTCAGTGGGGTGGGGAATGGGACGTGGGACCTCTCCCCTCTCAGGGGCGCCGGCTCCGATCCTCAAGGCAGGGGCACAAGAAGACTCAAGTATCCTTTCTCCAGTGGGTGTGGGTCCCGTATCCCTTTGATCCCCACAGCCCATGTCCCCTCCTGACCCGCAATCCCATCCGCATTCTGCCCCCTCCATGTCCCCTCTGCCCACTGTCCCATATCCTCTCACACCCCTGTCCCCTCCCCTGTTCTTCCCCCCAGCCCATGTCCCCTCATGTCCATTCCCCCTCTCTGACCCCCTGGCCCACGTCCCCTCACACGCTTTGTTCAGCTCCCGAGCCTGTCGCCCCCACACCCCCGCTAGCCATGGCCACCGTCTCCCATTGCTCCCCAAGGGAAGGAAGCCCGTGGGTGCTCTCAGTTAACATGGCCGCCCCCTCGCCCCCTGAAGCCCTGGCAGGGCGGCCATGCTGCCCCAAGCTAAGATGACCGATGCCTCAGCCTGGGGGTGGGCCTGGTGGGGGACAAACCTGCCCCACCCGGACTGTCGGGGTGGGGTGATGGCTGCCTGGGAAGGAGCCCCCCGGCTTCTCTGACCCTAGACTGACCCCCAGCTCATGCCCCCCCAATTCCCATCTCTTGATCCTGCCCCATGGCCATGGGGGGTTGTTGCCTCCCCCCCGACACCTCCCCCTGGCTTGAGCTGCCCCATCTCAACTGGGGGTTAGTGTGAAAACAATCCTGCCCCTTACACTGAACAGGGTTAAACACAGGCCGGGGGTGGGGTCCAGAGCCCGCAGCCTGCTCAGCCCCACGGCAAACCCCCCCCGTGACCCCTGGGACCGGCTGTGACAGACCCAGCAGAGCAGGAACCAGGGAGCCGTGGCAGGCGCCGTGTGAAACGAGGGGTTTGTTCCGGCCCCGGCCCCGTTCGCTGGAGCGAGTCTCTAGCCAGAAAATCCCCCGGGTTTGGGCGTCTCCCCGCTGGCCCCGGAGACGCTAGCGACTGTCCTGGGGGGCAGAGGAGCCGGCGGAGCTGGGCTGGAGCCGGCATCGCCGCGGCTGCTGTGAAAGTCCGACCCCATTTCCTCCCGGGTTGGGGGTTCAGCCGGGGGAGGGACGATGGCGTCGGGGTCCCTCTCTCCAGCCGCTCTGCTCAGGACGTCTCCGCGGAGCAGGGTCCGGGGGGCCTGGGGGGCCCAGGAGATGGGGGGTGGCAGCCGGGAGGGCAAAGCGAGTTTCTTTCTTTAAGGCCCCAAAGGGAGGTGGGCGGCACAGCAATATTTTATCCACCAATGAGGCCTCGTTTCCGACACCCCAATTTTGGGTCACGGATTTCTGCTCCCCCCCTTCTCCCATGTCCCAGGTGGGCCCCAGCCCGGCCCGTGGGGTCCGTCCTGCAGCCAGTCGGGTTGGACGAATCCCGTCTTTGTGTCTCGCCAACTTTCCCCCCAACGTTCAATTGTCCAGGTTCTCGTGAGGCTGCCTGAACTTCTCACTCGCCTTCGTCGGCTGAACCCACCACGGGGGGGACATTGGGAGGCTCTGGTATCACAGCCCCCCCTGGGGTGGGGAGATTTGGGGGGCAGGGGAGCAGGAAACTCTGGGGGTTTGCACAATAGAAATGCAGGCAGGGGAGGTCTAGGGAGAAAGGGGGAGAGAAAAGGGGCTGGGGAACCCCCCTGCAGAGAGAGGAGGGGGACGGACACCTTGGGGGCAGTAAGTGCCATTAGTACAGCGCCAGGGTCAGACGCAGCGTCCCCACACACAGGGGGCCAAGGGCTCTGTCTCAGGGCACTGGAGTGTGTGCGATTCTGCGGGTTGAGGGGCCTGGCTCGGGGCTGGGCGATGAGCCCTGGTGGTCCTGTGGGATTTAACTACCCAGCCGCCGGTTGGAAAAGCGCGAGGGCCAAATGCACGCTGCCCAGTGAGATCCTGGATGCCATGATGGGGCCCCGGGAAGGGGGGGCCGGTGCTGCTGCCAACACCCTGGTGCCCAGCTCCACCCAGCCCTGAATGAGGCACTGAGCCAGGGTTGCAGCTACAGGAAGCCAGCGCTGTCTCATCTCTTCCTGTATCTCTTACACATTGTCTCTAATCTGCGGGCCAAATCTACCTCGACCAAAGCAAGCAGAGGTCCCTGCAACACCCAGGAAACCTTGGGACCGTCAGCCTGGCCAGGCATCATGCCACTTGCAGCTTGTCTGTGTCTCTGTGCGGAGAAGGGGACAGCTCACCCTCAATGTACCCTGCAGCCTTGGGGATGGTGAGGTGGGCTGGAAGCCAGGAGACCACAGGGGCTGGTCTTCAATCTTTGACTGACCACTATTTCCATGCAGATTCCCACCCCATCAAACCCAGCTGGTGACCCATGTAGGTAAAATTAGTACATGATCATGCAATTAAAGGATGTGTGGCACATGGCCAAGTGGGCAGAGTTAAGGTTGTTCAGGAAACTTTAACTCTGGCAATTGCTGATTCTGGAAAGTATGATGTTGCACCTTTCTCTCTCAGCCTGCCAACCTGCCCATGTGCGACACGAGCCGTGGCACCGTGTGAGGAGCGGGCGCGATGGGGGACGCCTGGGTTTGCCTCCCCTTCTGCCATAGCTGAGCGGTGATGATGGGTATACACTGTAATGCCTGATTCTAAGGGGCTTTTCTCAGTGTGTGAACTAAATAAACCAGATTCAGAAAAAAATTGGAGAAAGAGAAATTCCATCCGGGGCCCCCCAACGGGTCAGCAGCCGGGAGAGACTATCGATATTAGGCATCAAAACGACAGAAAAAAACCACATTAATTTCCGCCCCACCTGTGTGCACCGAACGTCGCCGGAACTGCTCCGGTGTCCCCCTCTGGACACTCACTCTGCATCCCGCAGTGTTTTAAGATACCCCAGTAGCTTAAACCGCCCCTTTCCCAGTATCTCACCAAAGGCAGCCGTCTGGGAGACAGCTTAGCACTCTCCGGAGGCAGGGGTACGACGCACACAGAGGCTTCGCCCGGTGCCGGGGCTCTGCCTGGAATCACGCGACGAACGCACCGGTCCGTACAGAACCAAAAAACCCTGCCTGCGTTTCCCCGCTCCTGCTCGCCCGTCCTTGAGGGACCATCTGCGCCCAGGGGACGGACGGTTAGGGCCCCTCCACCACTGGTTTATCGCCGTGTCCGGGGCGATTCCATTGCAATGGGTGGACACTTTAAGTCAACTACCCTCTTTTGTTAGCCCTTTGACACCCGCATTAAAGCCCAGCCTGGATGCCCGGTGTGACAGGGCCGCCAATCTTAGTTAGTGGGGGGGTCTGTGCAACGCCCAGCACGATGGGGACACTTACTCTGTCCCAGTGGCGGCCCTTTGCACTAACACTGGTAGTGTGGTAATAACAGGGTGTGAGGGAGGAAGGGGCCGGGGAGACACAAGCTGCCAATCACCAGACACACACCCCCTGGGGGGGGCATCACACTTTCTTTATTGAGGCCCGGTCCCTGGTCCGTATAACCAGGGCAGGGCTGTATAAATACAGGAGGTGCCGGGCAGCGGTGAAGCCCAGCGCTCGCGGCTCCAGAGGGGGGCGACGTGTGGTACCATCCCTCAGCCCCCTCCCGCCAGCAGCTCCCCTGCCCGCCTTGTGGGGGGGCTTGACCGACCATTCCAGGGACCAGGCGGGCTCCCCCAGGGCTGCCCCCGCTCCGAAACGTCCGCTCTCCCTTTGCCAGGGCGATGGGGGACCCACCCTGGAATCTGGGGCGGCCATCGGCTGGGATGGGGGCAGAGCGGGGAGCTGGTGGGAGGGGCTGAGATAGCCCAGGGTGAAGAGGATGTTGGGGGGGGCTAATGGGGGAGGGGGAACAGAGAGGACTGGGTTGGACAGGATGAAGGGGTGGTTGGCAGGTGGGGGTTAGGGGGTTGGAATGGATGGGGTGGGATAGACCAGGCGGGGGGCGAGGTGGAGTGGGGGGGTGAATCCCAGCAGAGGGGGCTGCATGGAGTGGGGGGGCCTATTCCTTCCCTTAGTTGCCTGCGAGCCCGTGACGGCCTGTGAGGGGAGAGAGAACCCCGTTAGCTGCACTCCTGAGACCCCCCTTCCCGGACAGAGGGGCCTCCCCAGCCCCCCTGGGACAGATGGGGTCTCAGTCCCGCTCCTCCCACCCCAAACCCCAGCCCTCCCCCTGAGTGTGGGGAGACGCAGGAGAGTGTCAAGTGTGAAACAGACTAGGGGGAGGGGGCAACTTCACCCCAAATCCCCCCTGAGAGCTGGGCTGTAGCGGGAAATCAAGGTGGTTGTGCTGGGGAGGGGGCGCAGGCACCTGTCAGGACTCCTGGGTTCTCTCCCCGGCTCTGGGCAGGCAGTGGGGTTTAGTGGTTAGAGCAGAGGGGGGCTAGGAGCCAGGACTCCTTGGTTCTCTCCCCAATTCTGGGAGGGGAGTGGGGACTAGTGGTTAAAGAGGGGGAGGGGGGCTGGGATTCAGGAATCTCCAGCATGGCCTCGTCCCCACCTCCCCCCCCAGGACCAACTCACTGGCCTCAGCCTTGCAGGTGTCTCTCCTCCCAGCAGGCCTGGGCTACAAAGAGCAGAGCCAGCAGCAGGACGGCGGCCCCCAGGCCCAGCCGCAGTGCATTGGTCTGGCTGTAGTTGGTGCCCCCAGAGCACGAGCCTGTGGGGGGGCAGGAAGGAGACAATGGAAAAAAAATACACGGCTAGAGATCGGCCCTCGCAGCTAACGGCTTATGGGGAGAAGGGGGAGAAAATCCACCCACACTGCTCCCGCCCCCGCCGTGAGAGGAGAGAACCCAGAAGTCCTGATCCCCACCCCTGGGCTCTAACCGCTGGACCCCACACTCCTCCCAGAGCTCGAAATGCTCACCCATCCGTCCATCCCTCCCCCACAACCCTCCATCCCTCTGCGTACACACCCCTCTATCCCTCCATCCCTCCCCATACACACCCCTCCGTCCATACATCCCTCCATCCATCCATCCCTCTGCGTACACACCCCTCTATCCCTCTGTCCATGCCCATACACACCTCTCCATCCATCCATCCCCCGTCCATCCCTCCGCATACACACCCCTCCATCCATCCCCCCCAAACCTCCATCCATCTCTCCGCGTACACACCCCTCTATCCCTCCATCCCTCCCCATACACACCCGTCCGTCCATCTGCCCCCAACCCTCCATCCATACATCCCCATACACACCCCTCCGTCCATACATCCCTCCATCCATCCATCCATCCCTCCACGTACACACCCCTCTATCCCTCCATCCATGCCCATACACACCTCTCCGTCTATCCATCCCTCCGCGTACACACTCCTCCATCCATCCATCCATCCATCCCCCCAACCCTCCATCCATCCCTCCCATACACACCCCTCCATCCATCCATCCCTCCGTGTATACACCTCTCCATCCATCCCCCCAACCCTCCATCCATATATCCCCATACACACTCCTCTATCCCTCCATCGCTCCCCAAACACACCCCTCCATCCATCCATCCCCCATCCCTCCGTGTACACACTCCTCCATCCATCCCCCCAACCCTCTATCCATCCGTCCGCGTACTCACCCCTCTCTCCCCCCACACCCCTCCATCCATCCACCCATCCCCACACACCTTCTCCATCTGTCCATCCATGCCCAGACCCCATGGTCCCTGGCCAGTTCCCAGGCAGGACTGTAGCCAGTCCACATCCAGCGCCCCACTTCCCCCCAACTTAGCCCAGCGCACATATGGCCAGACTGATTAACCCTTGAACTGCTGGATGCCCCCGGCCGCGCACTCACCTTGGGTCTGCACCTCCGTGTCATTGAGATCCAGGTTGAAATGGGGGCCCGGTTCCTCCGGCCCGTAGCGGCAGCTGAAGACCCCGCCGGGGCCCAGGGCCTGCTCCTCCGGGAGATTGAAGCTGGCCGGCCCATTGTCCCCATCGGCTGTGATCCAGGCCAAGGGCTCGGGATCCCCGTCTCGGTACAGGAAGAACCAGCCACCCGGGGCATCGGGGACAGAGCAATTCACCCGGAGCTTCCCGGCCACGTCCACGAACCTCTCCCGGGCGCTGGGAACGTCTGGAAGAGCGAAGAGCCCCCGTGAGATGCTGCTCCGGCCCCGCATGGCCCCGGTTGTACCCATGCCGGGGCAGGGTCGTCGGCCTGCAGGGGGCGCTTCCACCCACGGAGCCTATGGCACCACCCCACAATGCACTGGGGTGCATTACCCACCAGCCCTACACACACCTCTATCCATCCCTCCCCATAGACACCCCTCCATCCATCCCTCCCTCCCCAGACACACCCCTCCATCTCTCCCCCATTCCTCCATCCCTTCCTCCCTCAATCCTCCCATCCCTCCCCATACACACCCTTCCATCCTTCCCTTCCTCCCTCCCCAGACACTCCCTTTCATCCGTCCCCCATTCCTCCATCCCTGCCCAGACACACCCCTCCATCCATCCCTTCCTCCATCCATCCATACAGACAACCACCCACCCCTCCATCCCTCCATGAACCCTCCAGCCATCCCTCCTTCCACCCTTCCATCCCCACACATGGCTCTCCGTCCATCCAGCCGCCCCCATACACCGCCAGCCAGCCGCTGCCATAGACCTCCAGCCGTCCCCATACCTCCCCCCCGTGACACGGAGCCAGAAAGGGCTAAGCACCTAGCAGGCTACATGACCCAAGTTCAGCCTTTAGGGACGTATTAGTGCCAATGTCAATGGGGATTGGGGCCATTCCACGTGAGATACACTAGAGCTTCGAAACGTGGCCTTGTCAGAGAGTTAGAAGAAGCTAGTGAGTGTCTTTGGCTACGGTTTCCCAGAGCAGCGGTTCTCACCCTGCTGTCCATGGCCCACTTGCAGCCCAATCAGCACACAGCTCCGGGGCTGGAGCACCCACGGCGGGGAAAAGTGGGGGGTACGGAGCACCCACCGGCAGCCCCCCATCAGCTCCCCACCAATGTCCCCTCTGGTTTTTGACGGGCCGGGCGTGCAAAAAATTGCTTCTCTGCCAGTTGTTGGGCGCGCGGTGTTTCGCCGTGTGCGTGGGGTTTAGGATCTGTGTGCGCGCCCAGCTTAGAGGGACCAGTGCTCCCCAACACCACCACCCCAGCGCCTCCAGCCCTGCGGATCAGCATCTCCCCTTCCCTCCCCGCGCCTCCCACCTGCTGCCATCAGCTGTTTCTCGGCATGCAGGAGGCTTGGGGGGGGGAAGAGCGAGGACGCACCATGCTCGGGGGAGGGGGAAGAACTGGCCGGGAAGAGGTGGGGCGGGAGTGGAGAGGGGGCAGGAAGAGGCAGGGGTGGAGTGGGGGCAGGGCCTGTCGCAGAGCTGGGGGTCGAAGACCCCTCGGCACTTTGGAAAATCGGCACCTGTGCACATAACACATTGCGGCCCACCGTGGTCAATAGGTTGAGAACCACTGGCCTCTATCTTGTTAGGGGTTAGCAGCTGTGACGAAGCAGGACTGTTCTTAATGGTGTGGGGGTGCCTCAGTTTCCCCTAGGCAGTTCTTAAGTATCTGGGTAGTGGGGTAAGGGTGTATGATCCTTGCAGAGCCCTAGAGGGCAGGTGTGTGCAGGGGTCTGGACACAGAGAATGGCCGACACCCTGTTTCCTGGCACCTGATGGCCTGGGCCCTTCCCCCCTGCAAGGTGAGACCTAAAGGGTTGGAGAACAAAGGAATCCGGTGACCCCCTAGCCCGGGAAAAGGACAAAGCCCGGGGGGGGCGGTGGGGGCGGGCTGGAGAGTGTTTCAGTTTGGGGCTGGCCGGGACATGGAGTGAAGTGCAGACGGGGTTGTCTGGCTCACTGCCCCCCAAAATGGACCCAGCTGAGGCGTCCTGTTCTCTGCACCTACAAGCTCTGTGTTAGACCATGTCCCTGTCGTCTAATAAACCTTCTGTTTTACTGGCTGGCTGAGAGTCACGTCTGACTGCGGAGTTGGGGGGCAGCACCCTCTGGCTTCCCCAGGACCCCGCCTGAGCGGACTCGCTGTGGGAAGCGCACGGAGGGGCAGAGGAGGCTGAATGCTCCGAGGTCAGACCCAGGAAGGTGGAGCCGGGTGAGCTGTGTGTCCTGCAGACAGGCTGCTCACAGAGAGGAGACTTCCCCAGAGTCCTGACTGGCTTCATGGGGAGCAGATCCAGAGCATCGCCCAGGGACTCCGTGACAGCAGTGTAACCAGCCGGTTCCTGTCCATCTCTATGCTCTACTGATTCAAAGAGCAAACGGAAATATTAACATTTAGATGGAACTTGGCTGTAAAAATGTCCTTGTCTATATTTCTCTTTGAAACTCGTAATAGATCATCTAGGAACCGCTTTAGGGATAATTACCTTATACTGCTGAATGCACCTAGTGACCTGGGTCTACTGAGTCCAGGACATCTACATAGAAAACAGGTGATTCTACTTCAAAGCCACCATATTTCCCCAAGGACTGCAGGCCGCTAAGAGGCTCCCAGAGAGCTAGGAAAGGACTTGTGGGCCCTGATCCTGTCGTCTCAGATCTGCTTAAGCTTCATCAGGGGAAGTTCGAGCCGCCAGGCTGGGGTCTCCAGCTCCAGTCTGGGGCACCCGGGCATTGGACTGAACCAACGGACTAATTCCAAAAGAACGTTTTGTGACTCTAAAGCTCACATCTCTGCTATGAACCTGACCTAAGAACTGTATTCGGGTCTGTACGGATACCGATCTTTGAACCCATGCACTCGCTCGCTCTCTCTTTTCTTTTTTAGTAAGTTTGAGTTTAGTTAACAGGAATTGGCTGTGAGCGTATATCTGGGTAAGAGCTGAGATATTCAGAGACCTGGGGCTGATGTGTCCCATCCTTTGGTATCGGTAGAACTTTTTATATGAGGAACAAGATTTTCAGTCATCCTCATCATACGTGAGTGGGAGCCCAAGGCTGGGTGGCTTTAAGGGAGCTCTGTTTTGGCATCTGGGTAACCAGGAAGGTGTTGGAGAAGCTCTGGATGAATCAAAGTAGTTGAATAACCACCAGCTTTGGGGGCCTGTCTGCTGCATTCTTTGCAAGTTGCCCTGATTGAGCAATCTCAGTGTGGCCCCCCAGGAACTCAGTCACCACCCTGCCATCCATCCCCCCATCCCCCCACACCCTTCCTCTATCCTGCCATCCCTCCATCCATCCCTTGCACCCTCCCTCTATCCCCCGTCTCCCCATCCATCCCCCCACACCCTTCCTCCATCCCCTATCTCCCCATCCATCCATCCCCCACACCCTTCCTCTATCCCCCGTCTCTCCATCCCCCCACACCCTCCCTCTATCCCCCAATCCATCCATCCCCCCAGATCCTACCTCTATCCCCCATCCCCCCATCCATCCCTCATCCCCTCACACCCTCCCTCTATCTCCCATCTCCCCATCCATCCCCCCACACCCTCCCTCCATCCCACACACCCTCACTCTATCCCCCATCCATCCATCTCCCCAGACTCTACCTCTATCCCCCACACCTTCCCTCTACCCTCTCATCCCCCCATTCATCCCGCCACACCCTCCCTCTATTCCCACATCCATCCCATAGACATTCACATCTATACAAAATGAGCTGAAAAAATCGTGCCCTAGAGGGGAGAGGCCCCGAGCCCCATTCCCCACCCCCTGAGCCAGCCAGTCCCAGCCCTGGGGCCGGATGGGAGCCGGCGCTCCCTCGAGGGGAGAGGCCCCGTGCCCCTTTCCCCCCACCTATGACGCTGAGCTCCAGGGGGTTGCTGGCGTTGGACCAGGCGAAGGGCTCGCTGGTGGTATGATAGTAGCAGGTGTATCTCCCCGCGTTGGCGGTGCCGGCGTTCCCCAGGTGGAACTCGGCCGTGGGGGGGTCTCCGCGAGGCACCCGCTCAGTCCAGAACTCCCGTGCCCGGTACAGCACGAAGCTCATCCCCGCATACGGAGCCCAGCACCGGATCGTCCAGGTCTGGCCGGCCGAGACCTCCGCGCCGGGGCTGACGGCGATGGATGGCTTGGGGTAGCGATCTGGACCGGGCACAAGGGAAGCAGAGCGTTGGGGTGGGGTATTGGGTACCCCGAGCTGGGGTGGGGACTGTGGGGGGGAGGGAACTGGGAGAGCCCAGTATCCTCCCACCTGGCTTAGACCCACGGGCCCATCTACCCCGGTATCCCGTCTCCTCCCTTCCCCCAGGATCAGACCCATGGGCCCACCTACCCCGGCATCCCGCCCCCTCCTGCCCCGCGGATCCGACCCCCGGGTCCATCTTCTGGCATCCCGCCCACTCCCTGCCCCTGGGACCAGACCCTCAGGACTCACCGCTGGTGACGTTAGCGGGGTCGCTGAGCGGGGACTCCACCCGCCCCCCGGCCGCATCCCGGTTCCAGTAGCCGCAGCGGTACCGCTCGCCAGGGCCAACGCTGGGCAGCAGGAACGTGACCTCTGAGCCCTGCGCTGGGGCCCGCTCCTTGGCCACAGGGCCCGGTGTGCCGTCCCGGTGCAGGGTGAACCAGCCGGCCCCGAGCGGCCCCGGGACAGAGCAGCGCAGCCTGATCCCCGCCTCGGCACCCGTGGCCCGGTCCCAGACGAGGGACGGCTTCGGAAGAGCTGGAGACACAGAGTGGGGGGGGGGAAGGCCTCTGGGTGACCCCCAAACAACCCTCCTTCCCTCCTCCCTTTGCCCCCCACCCTACCTGAGCCCTCCATACACACAGCCCCTCTTCTGGCCCTACCCGTCACAGCTAGCACCTTACCCTGCCCTCTCCCCTAGAGCCCCTGCCCTGCATTGCCCCACCTCACCGAGGGGTCTCCATGGGCCCCAGGGTGACCCCCTTCTTGATGGCCTGTACAGTCCTCATCTGCTCTGACAGAAATAGAACCCAGGAGTCCTGGCTCCCAGCCCCCAACCACTAGACCCCACTCCCCTCCTAAAGCCAGGGAGAGAACCCAGGAGTCCTGGCTCCCAGCCCCCCTGCTCTAGCCCCCTTTCAGCTGTGGGGCGGGCAGCGACACTCACCGACCGTCAGGAGCAGGACTGGCAGAGTCACAGCCATGGTGTGCAGCCGCGCGGCCAGCGATGGGGAAGTGGCGGGGCTGGGATGGAGGCACTGGGAGAAACCCAGCTCTAGGAAATGAGCCACTGGCCACAATGGAAAATCTCCACTTCCGATTCCGATGGGGGCCCAAACGCTGCGGGGGGTAGGGGGCCTGCACCTCTGCTACATGTATTACGGTAGTGCCAACCAACCTCGGGGGGGCCCCGTCGCGCCAGGCGCTGCACAGACGGACCCCCCCACACACACACACACGCTGAGCTCAGGACGTCACGCCATGTGCTGCACAGACACCCCACACACACACAGATCGCCCCCCCCCCCGGACTGAGATGAGGGGTCCCATGGCACCGGGTGCTGCAGACAGGCCCCCCCTTCCCCTGACCAAGATCAGGCCCTGCCGTGCTGGGCACTGGACACAAAGTGAGCAACACTCCCTAGAGCTCACAGGTAAATAGACAAAGGAAGGACTGTTCTCCCCATTTCACAGATGGGGAAACTGAGGCACAGAGCGATTCCGTGATTTGCCCAAGACCACATAGCATGGGAGCAGGAGCGGTAGAGCCAGGAATTGGACCCAGGTGTCCTGAGCTGCAGTGCTATGCCTTACCAAGACCAGCCTTAGGCTACCTTGCACTCGCCCTGCCACCCAGCCAGCTCTGGGAGGGGAGTGGTGTCTAGTGGTTAGAGCAGGGAGGGCTGGGAGCCAGGACACCTGGGTTCTCTCCCTGGCCCTGGGAGGTTAGAGTGGTAGAGGGGCCATCTCCACCCCAGAGCCAGGAAGGGAACCCAGGAGTCCTGTGCCCACTTCCCAAGTGCTGGGGACTGAGGCTGCTGGGCAGGGAGCCTGGCCACCCCAGCGCGGTTCATCACGCCCAGGCGAGCCATGTGCTGGGCGCTCTCTCCCTCCCGAAAGTCCCTGGTGACTCAGAGGAAGCAGATGTGTGATGGGGGGGCTGTCCCCTGGGGGTTCCCTCTGTGGTGTGGGGCGATGGGGTGGCTGGCAGGGGCACTCAGCTGCCTCTGCTGTGGGGTCTGGGGGTTTCTGGGACCCTCTCAGCCCCCCCACACTTCCAGCCCCCCCATCCCACCGGGGACGGGGGCCTCAGGACTGCCTCAGCTCCCCCTCCCCCGCCCCATGCCCCACCCCTCAAATCGGAGTCTGGAGCGCAGATGCCCCCAAGAGCTGTTATTGGGGTTCAGGTTTTGGGGTGGGGGGGAGAACCCAGGAGTCCTGGCTCCCGTCCCAGAGCCAGGGCTAGCGGTTACGGAGGTGGGGGGAGGGCTGGGAGCCAGGACTCCTGGGTTCTCTCCCCGGGGGCGGGCGGGGCCAGCGGCCCCGCACTACAAGTCCCAGGCTGCCCGGCCCGGCCCGGCCCGCGGTTTCCTTCCTGTGCGGCGGGAGCGAAGATGGCGGCGTTGAGCAGTGAGCGTCTCCTTCAGGGGGTGCCCCAGCGGGGGGGAGGGGGATCTGCGTCGGGGGGCTGCCCCAGCTGGGGGGGATCTGCGTTGGGGGGCTGCCCCAGCGGGGGAGGGAGGGGGATCTGCGTTGGGGGGGCTGCCCCAGCGGGGGGAAGGGGATCTGCGGTGGGGGAGGGGCTGCCCCAGTGGGGGGGAGGGGGATTGCGGTGGGGGGGGGCTGCCCCAGCGGAGGGAAAGGGGATCTGCGGTGGGGGAGGCTGCCCCAGTGGGGGGGGAGGGGGATTTGCGGTGGGGGGGGGCTGCCCCAGCGGAGGGAAAGGGGATCTGCGGTGGAGGGGGCTGCCCCAGCGGGGGGGATCTGCAGTGGGGGGGGCTGCCCCAGCGGGGGGGGAGGGGGATCTGGTTTGGGGGTGGGCTGCCCCAGCTGGGAGGGAGGGGGGATCTGTGCTGGGGGGCTGCCCCAGCGGGGGGGGAGGGGGATCTGGTTTGGGGGGTGGGCTGCCCCAGCTGGGAGGGAGGGGGGATCTGTGCTGGGGGGGCTGCCCCAGCGGGGGGGGCGAGGGGGGGGATCTGTGCTGGGGGGGACATTAACCCTTCACGCTCCGCTCTCCTCCCCTCCCCCCAGAGATCGGCGCCTTCCTGAAGGACATCTGGGCCAAGGAACCCGTCATCACCGTCTCCTTCGCCATCGGCATCCTGGGTGAGTCGCCCCCATGCCTCGGACGGGGGGAGCCCCCTGCCCCGCTCTTACACAGTGCCCCCTAGTGCTGCAAGGGGGCTGGCACTGACTGCCAGGGGAGAGCGCCCCCCGCCGAGCCCCACACGCCGTTCCCCGCAGCCCAGCGCCCCCTACTGAGCCCCTGCGCGCCTTGGCATCCGTGGGGCTGCGCTGACGCTGTCCGTGTCTCTCTGCCTGCAGCCACGGTGGCGCCCCTGCTCAGCCCCTACACGAAGTTCTCCGGCATGATCAACCGAGCGACGCCCTACGTCTACCCAGGTGAGGGCTCCTGGCCATGCCGCCCCCCGCGGGGCCTAGCTGAGAGAGAGGTGCCAGGCGCTGCACTGGGGCATCAGGCCTAGCCCTGACTGCCAGGGGAGAGCGCCCCCTGCTGACCCTCCCCACTCCCTGCGGCACAGCGCCCCCTAGCGCTGCCCTGGAGCAATGGGGCAATGCACTGACTGCCAGGGGAGAACGCCCCATCCCACTCCCTGCAGCACAGCGCCCCCAAGCACTGCCCTGGGGCAATGCACTGACTGCCAGGGGATTGTGCCCCAACCCACTCCCTACAGCGCCCCCTAGCGCTGCCCCGGGGCAATGGGGCTAGCACTGACTGCCAGGGGAGAGCGCCCCCTACTGTGGGCCTCTTCCCCACACCAAGCAGCTGGATCAAGTCTCAGCTGGTTGGTTCCCCTGGCCAATCCTCATGGCAGCATCACAGTGCACCTTAGGCAGCGGGTAGCAGCTAGGCTGATGGCCATGGGGTGCTGACCCCTGAGGGAGGGGGGTGAGCCCCAGCTGACTCAGTGTAGGGGTGGCTTTAACCCCTTCACCTCTGCACTGTCCCCTGGGGAGAGCCCCCTCCCCCTAAGCCGCCTCCACCTCTCTCTAGTGCCCGTGCGAGATGACGGCAAGATGCCCAACATCCCCTCCCACCCCTGTGATAAGGAGGGGCCCAGCTTGGACTGGCTGAAGAAGCTGTGACATGGCCGGGGCCCTGACGTGCTGGCTGCAGAGGGAGCCTTCCCCCTGGGCTGGGTCAGCGCACTGCCCCCTGCTGGCTACAGGGGGGTGTGGTTCTCTCCGCCTCCCCCCATGGATGTAATAAAGGTTTTGACTTAAGGAACCAGCCTGGGTGTGTGTTAATCTGTCCCTGGTGCCCCCTACTGGCAGGATGGAGCCCTGCTGGCTCTGTGAGATAGTGACATTGGTGCCCCCTGCTGGCTGTTAGTGTGTTGCTGGCACCCCCGGCAGGAGGGACAGGGCTATGCTGCCTCTGTGTTAGTGTCACTGGTGCCCCCTACTGGCAGGATGGAGCCCTGCTGGCTCTGTGAGATAGTGACATTGGTGCCCCCTGCTGGCTGTTAGTGTGTTGCTGGCACCCCCGGCAGGAGGGACAGGGCTATGCTGCCTCTGTGTTAGTGTCACTGGTGCCCCCTACTGGAGGGATGGAGCCCTGCTGGCTCTGTGTGTGTCCCTGCCCCTGCCCCTGCCCCAGGGGGAGACCTGGAGCGTGCACAGCTGCTGCCCTCTACAGGAGAACATGGGAATTGCATACTTGCATGCACAGTTTCATTGCACTGACCAAGGGGACCATCTACACCTGGGGGGAGAGGCAGTGCCCTGTCCCAGTGCTTACTCGCTCCACCTACCCACAGATCACGCAGTGTGAGGGGAGACATGGGGGAGACACAGGCCAGGGGGCCCAGTAGAGAATCAGGGACTAGAACACAGGCGTCCCAGACTGCATTTATTATTCATTAGGGGGGTAGCAACGATGGTCCCATCAACGCAGGGACCAGGGGGCTGTGCAAACAGCAAACAAAGACTAGACCCCACTCCCCTCCTGGAGTCAGGGAGGGAACTCAACTGTCCTATATCCCAGCCCTCCCTGCTCTAACCACTAAACCCCACTGCCCCCCCGGACAGAACCCAGACATCCCGACCCCTTGCTCTAACTCAGTATAGCAGAGTTCACTCAGTGTTTGTGCGCTTTGGCCCTGACCAACGTCTCTATTTCCTCATCATGAGATCTGCGGGGCTTTTAACCCTGAAAGATTCCAGCAGGAGTTTTACCCACCCTGGGAAATCTCCTTCTCCCAGCTGGCTGGAGGCTTCCTACCCTGTCCCCACTTAGCTGTCGGTCCCACAGCACAGGGGCCTGGTGTACAGGGGGTTAACCTCCCCCAGTCCACAGGGAGGGACCGCACCCCTCCTGGTTTAACCCCTTGAGGGCTGGAGCCAGGGGCCTGGTCAGTTTCAGAAGGGTTCAGTCGAAATCAGCGCAGGCCCCAGGGCTGGAGAACTTGGGGTAATGGATGAGTTTATCTCGGGGCTGGGGCCAGCTGACGGTGTCCTGGTCACAGGGGAACTCGTCCTCTTCTTTGAGCTGGAGGGGGGAAGAAAAGGGTCAGACCCCTGAGCCCATCTAGCCTGGTATCCTGCCCCTCACCCACATCAGCCCCATGGGCCCATCTAGCCTAGTATCCTGCCCCTCACCCACATCAGCCCCATCTAGCTACCACCCAGGAGCAAGGGGAGTGACCGGTACCTGTGCAGGGAAGTCATCCATGGGGAGGAGGGCAGGGGCCAGCCGCCTGCCCCTCTGCTCCTTGTCCTCACGCCCATGCCGGCGACGCTTCTTCCCCGTGGGGGTCTCCGCCTGGGATGGGCTCTTGGGCTCTGGACCAGCTGGTGGGGGGCCAGGGAAGCGCCGGGGGGTCTCCTTCTCTGGAGGTTCGTTCTCAGTATTTCCTGGGGTGGGGGCTTCTGTGCTGGGGCTGCCTTCATCCTGGGGATGGGGGGGGGGGGGGGACAGAGGAGGAACAGAGCCATTCAGTGGGCTCCCACCCAGGGCTCTCCGGAGTCGAGCAGGGCCACAGTAAAGGGCTGAATTCTCTTGACAGCTCCAAAACAGAATCTGCCCCACTCCAGGGAGGGACCCCCCAGTGGGGAGAGGGGCTCCTACCTCTAGGACAATGGTGAGCTGGCTCTGTCTATAGTCATCCCCATAGGAATCCAGGACCCTCATAAGGAATCTGTAGGGGGGACAAAGAGAGCCACATTCTGACATCAGGGCCCCTTGGGGATGGGCGCTGCCCAGACCCAGACTCACAGAGATTGCGGCCCCGTCGCACCGGGCACTTCCCAGACTCACTGAGATTAGGCTCCCATCATGCCAGGCGCTGCCTGGCCACAGAGTCACCGAAACTGGGACCCCGTCGGGCTGGGTGCTGCCCAGACACAATGTCAGTGAGATCAGGGCCCCACTGGGCTGGGTGCTCCCTGGACAGAGAGTTGCTGAGGCTGTGGCGCTGGGCCCAGCTCCTGTCCCGGAGCTCTTACCTCCTCTCCTGCTTGAGCCGCCGTGTGATCTTCTGCACGTGGTGGAGTCGGTTCAACACCCTCTCGTTGACCTGGAGCCAGGGAAACAGACGCATCAGGCCGGTAACTCACCCAGGCTGGAGCCTTCTCCCCCAGCACCTCCCGCCTCTGCCCAAGCCAAGGGGTCGTCCCCTGCATTAGATGCGTCCTGTGGGGGGTCCAGGGGTTGAGTGTTCCGCAGTGCACCCCTGTGTTCACACCCCACACCTGTGAGACTCAGACCAAAGCTTGAGAGCTGCTTTAGTGTGTCTCCTTTGCAGCATGAGATGAAAACAGGGATGTAAGGAATGGTTCCGAACGGAGACTGGTTAACCAGGCTGCTTTCGCTGTGTTGTTAACCAGTGATTAACGTGCCCTAAGTTCTTCAGAAGTATGCATCTGACAAAGTGGGTTTTTTACCCACGAAAGCTTATGCCCAAATAAATCTGTTAGTCTTTAAGGTGCTACCGGACTCCTCGTTTCTGTGGATACAGACTAACACGGCTACCCCCTGATTCTTGCCCTAAGTTATTAACTTTGCTGTGGGAATTATCGATAAAACATACCGTCGTACAGTGAGTGGAACAAGGAATTCACACACTTGTGGTTCTTTCAGCTCTGGAGATCACTAATTTGGCTCCTGAACCCCTGAGGCTGGCATGTCACTGCCCTCCACCCTAGTGCAATAAGCTTGGTACAAGGCATGGCTGGGGAGCTGCAGACTGTCTGCTTGCGAAGCAGTGATATCATGGCAAAAGGCACCTAGCAGCATTACGTGTAACGAGCTGAGATCCCGACGGACGCATTTCCCAGCTAAGTCTGGGGAGTGGCTAGGCTGGTTTCTCAAAGACAAGGGAGGCCCAGCCCGGTGGCAACGAAGCCGATGGGTCAGCACCGAGCAAGCAGCCAGTCTTGGGCAAGAAAGGGGAGCAGAGACAAAGGCCGGGTCTACACTACAGACCTATATCAGTATAACTACATCGCTCAGGGGTGTGTAAGCGCGTGTCTGCACCGGTTTGGTAGCGCCGCCTCCCCGAGCGGCTGACAGTCCTGCACGACGTAGTTAGGTAGATGCAGCATCGGCACAGACGCCGTGACATTTCTGTCGACCGCTGACTTTCAGGAGCCATCCCACGCTGCCGGTACAATCAACACACCCCGAGGCACCAAGTGTGCGTGCCCCCAAACAATTGAATAACCACAGCGACCGCATGCCAACGTGATTGTGTAGCGTAAACATGGCCTTAGCAAAGAAACAATGTGAGGTCTACTTCCTCCACCAGCCCCCTCGGCTCTCAGCTGGAAAGGTTTGTCAAATGGGGGCTGACACTATCCAAAGGAGGGACAAAGACCCCATGGGAGCTCCCTCTCTCCCTGCCCATCGCATTCGCCGCACCTGAGAGGACAAAGAAACCAGCCCTGCATTCGGCAGTGGGGGTCTTGGCCTACAGAATTCGGTCAGCTGGAAGCACACGGGGAGAAACTTTGCTTTGAATCTAACCTAGCTGAAGCAGGCACTAGAGAGCATTTTGATCCCTTCAAATCTCTCTCTCCTCATAGTTAATAAACTTGTTTCATCTACTCCAGGGTGCATAAGATAAAGCATCTGGTAACTTCACTTAGCACCGTGAGCTGGTGTATGTTATTTCCTTAAAGGAATAGTGGAGGGAGTGTTTCTGGCCAGGAGAGGGCAGCGCAGCTGGGATTGGGGATGCGTCAGGGGGCACTCTGGGGTGTAATCAGGGCCGGTGAGCGCCGACTGGCTGGCCAGATGCAGCACACGAGCGTCTGCAGCGGAATGGTGGGGGTGGGGCAGGTGAGGGGGCAGGGCCCAAGGCCCACTGAAGGGGGACAGTGGGTACCCTGGGTTGGTGGGGCAGGGACTGGTGGTTGTGAAGGAAGTGGGGTGGGATGGGGCTGGGCACGTGTGGGGTGATGACTTAGGTAGAAGGGCTGGGCCATGGCTTGGGGCACTATGGACCAGGGGGGCTGGTTTACAGGGCACGGCCAGGCAGCGGCCAATGGAGGGAGTGAGTTAGGGGGCACAGCCAGGCCATGGCCAATGGAGGGAGTGGCTCAGGGGGCGGAGCCAGGCTGTGGCCAGTGGCGGGGGGAGTGGCTCAGAGGGTGGGGCCAGCTTTGGTCCCCAGCCCCCGCAGCGCCCCCTCCCCACCTGCTCGATCTCCTTGCAGCGCCGGGCCAGGGCCTGAATCTTCCGGCGGCCCAGCTCGCGCTGCCGCTGCTGGCTCTCCTCCTCCTCCTCGTCCTGCAGGTTGTCCCCGCTCAGCCCCCCGTCCACGAACTCCACCTCCGTCTCCAGCTCGCTCTCCAGGATGTTCCCCCCGAAGAGCGGGGGCAGCGCCAACTCCGAGCCCGGGGGCACCGAGAACTCCTCGAAGCCCACCCCGGCCATGGCGCTGCAGGGGGATGAGGGCAGTGATGAGACGGGGGCGGGAAAACGGGGTCTCCCCCACCAAGCACTAAGCTGCGACCCCCCCACCACACACACTTCTCTGCTGTTAACACCCCCCACTGGGGACCCATCCCCCTTACACGGACCCATCTTCCCCTTCTGCTAACACCCCCCACCAGGGACATGACCCCCCTTACAGGGACTGACCCCTCCTGCTGCCAATACCCCCCCCCGCCCACGGGGATCCCTCCTCCTCGCTTCGCCGCCCCTCCCCCGCCCACGGGGATCCCCCTTCCTCGCTTCGCCCCCCCCTCCCCCCCCACAGTGATCCCCCTCCTTCGCCCCCTCCC